AAAAAAAAAGAACTCAAGGCCACTGAAATCCCAGAGGAATCTGCAGTGGTCTCATCTGGCAGTTGGCCAGCTTTGCAGACTAATGGATCTGTGCTCAAATGCTGGCACTTAGACTTCCTGTAAAGCTAACTGGCCTGTTAACCACTCCATGAGTACTACAGGGGTCAGATGAAACCGCCTTGTCTAAAGGTGCTACCACAGTAGGTGCCGCTCCAAATGGCAGCTCATTTGCTCATCTTTTCTGTGTGTGTGGATTGAAGCCAGGTACTTGACACTGAACTACATCTCCAGCTGAGGTCCAAGTTACCCTGGCCAAGTTCATACTTGATATTTTCCTGCTGCAACCTCCCAGACCACTGGGATTATAAGCATGTACCACCATACCCAGCTGTTGTGTGTTATAACTAGCACAGCAGTCAGCAACCACTTGGGCCCAATCACATACTGGTCCTGGGCACAGCCTTCCCTTTGAGGGCTTGTAGAAGGCAGGAACAAATAAGTAGACTATTTTATTTTCTAAGAATCAATATATTTTTTTTTCCTTTGAAATAAATACAAACCAGTTTGAGAGGTAGGGGGAAATCTACAGGAAAGAGAAGGAAAGTGGGGACAGGCCCCAGTCTTTTTTTAGTACCAAATGACTCTGGCGCGACCCGGAAACGCAGTTACAAATGAGAATAATTTAAATTCTCTGATAATTACATTATTTACAGTAGCAGGGGAGGGGGTCACCTAGTGCCCCATTTCCAGGCGGACAGACACAGTCCCACTGCTAGGCTGGGTGGATGCCTGCTCCCCTCCACCAGCAGTGGCCTCAGGCCTTTAGGCATTTGTGGAATCTCCTGGCATGAACAGGGGTCAGTGGTGGCCCACCACCCGCGAGACCATGCCCTGAGGCTTCTGGAGCTCTTTCTGACCTACGGGACCTCCCCTCTCCTTGCACTGAGTTGCCATGGGTCCTTGGAGTGTTCTGTACAGTCCAGCTGCACTCAAGGCAGGAGGGACCGCCCCTACCCAGCTTCCCCTGAGACTGGCCCCAAGACCAGGAATGAGAGTGCAGAGGCCGGTGCCACTCCAGACACGGGGCTCTGAAGGCTGGGCTCTGCTGGGCAGATCAGTCACTGTCACTGGTCTCGCTGCTCTGCTCACCCTGCACCTTGCTGCGGTGCTGCAGTGCCCTGTGGTAGGCGATCTGTACTGACTTGCGGATGTTGGACTTCCGGCCCTCCAGCATCTTCTCTTTGTCAAGGTCCTGGTTTACGCCCAAAGGGACCAGCTTAGTCCTGGGAAGCCACTGCCTAGAGGACAAAGTGAAGATCAAATAAATCATTTTGGGGACAATTAAGGCCAGCCTTCCTCACTTCATTCATTCAAAAATACCTTCAAAGCTGATTGTGGTACACACCTATAATCCCAGCACTTAGGAGCCTGAGACAGGAGGATCACTGACAGATTAAGGACATTCTGGGCTACACAGTGAGTTGAAGGCCAGCCTGAACTATAGCACCCACACTGGCCAGACTGTTGGGCACTGGAGGGATGGAGACCAAGAATCAAGGCCCCTGTTCTCAAGAGACTGCACTCAGTCAACGGTTACGCTAGAGAGAGAATAACCACAGGGTATTTTTTGATGCAAAAAGCAGCTCTGACCTAACTGGAATGGATGGCCTGTGCCATGGGCTCTTATCAGACTTTATGGATAATGAATAGCATCTTTAGGAAACTAACAAGATTACATACATGTGACAAAAATAAGAATTTACAGCCTGAATTTTTTTTTTCTTTTTGAAACAGCATTTCACTATGCAGATTAGGCTGGCCTCAAACTCACGACAATCCTCCTACTTCAGTATCTTGAGTGCTGGGATTATAAGTGTGTATCCCCTTACTCTACCTGTGCTAGAGGCTAAATACTCATGCTAGATTTATTTGTGTGTTTAATTTCATCTTCTCTATGTAGGCCAGATTGGCCTTGAAGTCACTATGTAGCCCATGCTGGCATCGAACTCACAGAAATCTACCTCAGTCTCCCGAATGCTAAGACCACGGGTGTGCACCATATGCCAGCTGGTGCTAACTTTATCTGCGTTCTTCCCCTGGGGAGCAGGAGCAAAAAACCTAAATCTAGAAGCTGAGCCTAGGTGCGGAGCAACCCCACTATTTATCAGTCACTGAAGTTCTTTTGGCTTCTAGGTACCACTGTTTGTCAGCTCCTGTCCACACACTATGTCAGATTCTGGGTTGAAATAACCCGTGTGCAGGCTGTGCTCGAAGCCCTCCCTGGGGCTCTGTGGTAGCCTATCTGTCCACTGGAGTTTGCTGGCAGTCTGCCCCCATACCACATGGGGCTGCATCAGTCAAAGTGCTCCCTTCTTTCCTTACCAAGTTCGTTTGTTGTCAAAGAAGAGAACCAGGTAGAGATGCTCTCGGGCTTCCTGGGTCATCTGCTCTCCGAGTTTTAGCACCTCCAGTGGGGGTACAGGGATGGGAACGCCGTGGTGAAACATACCTTCTCGGGGCATCTTTGGATCAATGATCTGAGGGTGCAACATGAGTCCCGTTTGGTTCAGTTCATTCTCTAGTGCACACCCACCTGAGTTTGGGGACTACATCTCAGGTGGAGACAGAAGAGCACGTGTGCTGCTAGGGTTCTACTGCTGGCCCTTGGTCTCTTCCTGTGGTGAATCATTCCCGAACCAAAGGGGCAGAGGAGGCAGAGACTTAACAATGGGCAACAAGGAGTACCCTGAGGCTGCATCTGCCCAAGTCTGTCTCCTGAAGAAGCCTGTGTGCCACAGCCCAGCAGGGAGCAGGGGAGTCTGTGGCTGGCATTAAGAAGGGGTAGGGTGGAGAAGCACAGCCTACCAGAGCTGGGTATGACGGGTACCCTCGGCATTTGGCCCACACTAGGTCCAGAGCATCCAAGGGAGAGTCCTCATCCTCCGACAGCCAGCTGGCTCCCCGGCCCAGACTTTTTCTCACCACTTCACAGGAAAGGGAAAAAGGGGGTGGATCAGCAGCTGGGGCGCTGGCAAGGCCCTGACACCGGGTCCCCAGCATCCCTGTCTTGGGGTGAGGGTACTTACTGCTGTGGCCCACGCCGCGGCCAGTGCCCACGGAGTAGGCCTCATTTTCAGTGCCTGAGGTGTCCTCGCTGCTGTCCTCTGGGAATGTGCCCCTTGAGAAGGAGGGCTTGCCCCGGCCTTGTTTGGAGGGTGTGGTGCTGAGAACAGAAAGTCGGAACTTGGCTCAAAGGGAGGTAAGAAAGGGGAAATGGCAAGGTACGCGTTCATCCTCCTCTAGGCCTGCCTGAGGTCTATGCTTTTGCAAATGAGAAAGAAGAATTTCAAACTCAACACACCCTGGGCCTGGGTTGGAGATCTGAAGATGGGCGAGAGAGGTGAGGTAGTATGTGGCCTGCATAAAGACCGCCACACACTCTGGTGTTGATGGGAATACAGGGACTGGGAATCTTATGTGGCCTATCTGGATTCCTATTTTTTTTTTGGAGAAATAAATGGATTCCTATTTTTTAATTCATTATTCTGGCTACAATACATCAGTAGGTCAAATTGAGGCTGTTAGGTACCACAGCACACTGTTCTAATTAGATCATCAGCTTAATCCAGGACGACTCTCTATCACAGTGCCACTGATTTAAGCTATTAATTTTGCGAAGACACTTGGGTTTGAGCCACCTGACTTGACAGCCAAAGCCCGAGAGGACTGATAGGCAACTGCAGGAACAGGGTTCCATCTGCAGGGCTGGTACCTGGTGCGGTCTGAGGCGGCACTGCTGCTGCTGCTGCTGCTGGACTCGGAGTCGGAACTGCTCCTGGGAAGGCTGCAGTCATTGCGGTATACCAGGAAACTCTTCTTCACCGGCTGATTTCCACTGCTGAAGCCATTGGCTGGCAAGTCTTGGTGGGGGAGGGAGGGAGAAACCGGTCAGGAAGATGCCAATCAGGGACAGCATGGGGGTGA